GAGACCCACTGAGATGCTTCAACAAATAGATGCAAAGCTAAAAGTGCTCATTCATTTATGTCAAGAAATTTGGAAAAGAGCTACCTGGCCAACTGACTTAAATGATTCATGTTTGTGCCCATTCCAAACAAAGATGATCCCACAGAATGCAAAAATTCTCAAACAATATCATTAATATCACATGCAAGAAAATTTTGCTGAAAAAAATTCCAAAATGTCTGCAGTAGTATACTGACAGAGAATTGGTGGAAATTCAAGTCAGATTCAGAAAAGTGTGGAAGAAGAGATATCATAGCTGAAGTTAGATAAATCTTGGCTAAAAGTAATACCAGAAAGATATTTACCTGTGTTTTATTGACTATGCAAAGGCATTTGACTCTGTGTATCATTAAACAAACAAACAAATAAATAAATATAACATTATGAAGAAGGGGAATTTCAGAACACTTAAGTATGACCATGTAAGACCTGTACATAAACAAAGAGTCGGTCTTTCGACAGAACACAGGAGATACTGAGTGGTTTAAAATCAGGAAAAGTGTGTGTCAGGGTTGTATCCTTTTACCATATTTAGTCTGTTTGTTGAATGACTAACCTGAGAAGCTGGACTATATGAAGAAGAACATGGCATCAGAATTGAGGAAGACTCATTGACAACCTGAGATATGCAGATGACACAACCTTGCTTGTTGAAAGGAAACAAGACTTGAAATACATACTAATGAAGATCAAAGATTGAAGCCTTCAGTGTGGATTTCACTTCAACATAAAGAAAATAAAAATTCTCACATCTGGAGCAAGAAGCAACGTCATGATAAACAGAGAAAAGATTGAAGGTTTCAAGGATTTAATTTTACTTGTATCCACGATCAACACCCATGGAAGCAGGAGTCAAGAAATCAACCAGTATGTTGCTTTGGACAAATACAGGGTGAAATAAAGTGTTAAGAGGCAAAGATGTTACTTTAAGGTCCAAGGTTCACCGGATGCAAACTATGGTATTTTCAATAGCCTCATATACATGTGAAAGCTGGACAATGAATAAAGAAGACCCAAGAGGAATTGATGCATTTGCTTTGTGGTGTTGATAAAGAATATTGAATACACCATGGTCTGCAGGAAGAGGGAACGAATCTGTCATGGAAGAAGTACACCTGGAATGCTCCTTAGAAGCAAGGATTGTCTCACGTACTTTGGACATGTTATCAGGAGGGACATGGAGAAGGACATCATACTTGGTAAAAGAGAGGGTCAGTGAAAAAGAGGAAGACACTCGATGAGATGGATCAATACAGTAGCTGCAATAATTAGCTCAAACAGAGCAATGATTTTGAGGATAGTGCAGGACAGGGCAGTGTTTCATTTTGTTGTACACAATAGGGTCGTTATGATTCGAAACTGACCTGACAGTACCTAACAACACCACTGATTGATAATAGTTATATTTACACATGCCACGCATTTCAAATTCTCATGACATTATTACTGCTTTATGTTTTTAGCATAAGGATACATGATACTCTAAAGAATATCCCTATAAAGAAAAAATGTAGTTTTTAAAATATAAATCTGTAGAAACACTTCCCACAAATCTTTTAGGATTACAAAGTTATATTTTGCAATATTTGCAGTTAAAAGCATTATTGCAATGTGAATACACTTGTAATTTTCTGAAAAAAATGGTGAACATCATTTAATCACTCCTCATAATCTAATACAAATAAATAATGTTTTAAGACACACACCAGGATGTATTAAAAATATCTGGATTCTAGTCAAGCTGTGGCCTAATCAAATAAGTGACTTTATTAAAATTAATTATATCTTTCAGTCTTAATTATAATAAAATCATATTTTGTAGCGCAATCTATTTCTGCAGTGATACTGCCTCGGAAACCCAAGGAGGGGTCACTATGAGTTGGGTCCGACTTGATGGTACATAACAATAACAACAAGAGCACCAAATGGTAATTAATTTAAGTGATTCCTTTTTTTAAATATCATCCTTAACCCTATACCCTATGCTACATATATATTTCATTCATGGTATAATTTGTATACTCTACCAGATATTTATTATTGTATCCCTTTTTCTAAATGAAGAAATTAAAGTTTCAATTACTCAGATAAATAATGGGACAGAGCTGAAATATGAACTCATGACTTCCAGACTCCAAACCCTGACTATTTAATCACTGTATTAGATTAGTCTTTGAGGTCAAACTAACTTCATTTTAATCCTATGTCTGCCGTTAAGTATGTTGCCTTCTGCATTAGGTGTATTTTATCAGATATCCAAATGCAGATAATAACACTTATATCATAGAATTTAGAAGAAGATATTTATGATATGTATTTATGATAGTTATTATAGAGGTTGGTAAAAAATAAGTGTTCAGTAATTATGATATGTTATGTAGAATAATTTTTATTGTTGTTGTTATGTGCCATCGAGTCGGCCCGACTCATAGTGACCCCTCCTTGGGTTTTCGAGGCAGTATCACTACGGAAGTAGGATTGCCCAACCTTCCTTCCAAGGAGTGGCTGGTGGGTTTGAACCGCCAGCTGTCTGGTTAGCAGGCAAGTGACTTAGCCACTATGCTACCAGAGCTCCTATAGTAGTATATTAGGTCCCAGTAAACGTAAAATTATATGAATAGCTTATTGGAAACAGAAAGAAAAAAAAAAATAATGTAAGGGTAAAATTGTTATTATTGCCATAGATCCTGTGTAAATATAAGTATTTGTGAATTTTACTTAACTGGTCACTTAGCATTTTGATAAGATTTCCTGTATCCTTTATTTGTAAAATGTTTCACTTAGAGGAATAATAAAAAAAATAAAACTGTTTATTAACATTACTTGATAGCTATGCAAATTAATTGTTGCCACACTATACACCCTGTAGGTTGGAATCTTAATTTTGAAACTATAGAGTACAGGGCTTCAAACTTGTTAATTCCAGTGCAACTGCTGATCAGAATTTGTATTTCCATCCAGGTATACTAAATCAGAATTGATATTTTAATAAAATACCCAGATGATTTGCATAGTGCTTAAGGCATTTGATTGCTAACCAGAAGGCTGGCAGTTCAAACCCACCAGCCACTCCTGGGAAGGAATACTGGGTGATCGAATTTTATAGGGATGCTGCCTGGGAAACCCAAGGAGGGGTCACTATAAGTAAGCATGGACTCAATATATATATTATACATATAAAAATATATATA